CCAGATAATCATCTATTTTATTTTTCTTTTATATAAATGTCTCGTGTTAAAATTAAATAAAAATATAAATATAAATATGATAAAATAAAAAAATATTTTATTATAAAACCAAAATATTCTATATTACAGGATTTGGCCTAAATAACTTCATATATTAATTCAACAGTATTTTAAAAACTTCCTTAAAACTTCTTGGCAACATGTTACTGAAAAAAAGTTTTAATATATATTGTTTTATTAGTCTTATAAGGAGAATAAAATGAATAAAAAAAATGATTACTTAATTTTTGTACATAACAACTTTCGGCTTTTATCTGAAAAAAAAAAAAAAAACATAATTGTATAAACAATGAAACACAAGCTTTTGGGTGGAAATATCAACTTAATGATGATGCTGATACAATCAGCATTAGATACAAAATAAGCAATATATAGAGTTAATATTTATTTTCAATTTTACCAATTTGAAGATTATATAATCTTTTTTAAAAATGATTTTGCAAAATATGTTTGTGTTAGTTAGGTTTGTTGGGCTAAAAGTTTTGCTAATTAGCTTATTATATGCATGGTTTATGTTTTGGGTCATGGCACAAGGTTGTCTTCCCTTAACCCTAAATTTATTTTTATCCCCCATGTCAATCCCTAATTCAAAAATACTTCCAAAATCTAAGTAATAATTCTTGAAAGAATGATGTTTAAATGAAGAAGAAAATAAATGAGACTTAAAAACTTTTTTTGAATTTTTTTTTTAATAAAATCTTATTGAAAGTTTTTGAAGTTTAACTTGCAGTAAAATTATAGAATTATCCTTAACTCTTCATCTACATAGTGTCGCAAATATATATCCAATTAAAATTATTGAGTTAAATGTTCTTTTAAAATAGATAAGCCTTTAAAATTTCATACAATTTAAAAAAATAAAATTACTGTACTGTTTTATTTTAATATATTGAAATATTTAAATAAATAAATAAAACAAAATATTCAAAAGAAAAAAATTTCTACCTTTCAAGCTAAACGTTCTACACCACAGTTAATCAATCAAAATTGGATCATAAATTTAATGATTCTTGATGGGTCAGGAAAATACTTTAATCAAATTATATGTATAAAATGTGACATGTAAATTTCAATTAAATATATTGATTTAATGATAACATGAACTCTTAAATCATGTAAAACTTCTGAACCTAAATATTATTTACTCCATAAAATTAAGATAAAAATAAAGATAATAAATTTGAAGACTTGGCATAAAACATTAAATATTTCATGTTACAGTTTTGGTTGGTGTACTTAAATTCTAAAAGTTAAATTGCAGTGATTTGCCAAGCCCCTTTTATTAATTTTTAAAGTCAAACATAGAGTGCATCCACACATGAAAAAACAAGAAAAGAAAGCAATTGATGTACATAACCCAAATTCTCAAGGCAAGCAGGTTAACAACTAATTCCACATTGGTGTAACCGCCACCATTTGTGTCAGGCGTGGACTACAAACATAAACATTATATTAATAGGACACTGACTTGTTCCTTATTTGCCATAATCCTTAACATTTCAGTTTGATCCTCCACTTAAACCAACATCTCAATGTGACCATGTTATCTCATTCATTTTCTCTGATTGGAACAGTAATTATTGTTCTTGCACAAACACTTCTCGGGGTGAGTTCACTTCCTGAAGCTGATAAAATAAGCAGTTTGCCAGGGCAGTCACATGTTAAATTTCAGCAATATTCTGGTTACATTACTGTGGATGACCAACATCAGAGAGCTTTGTTTTATTACTTTGTTGAAGCTGAAAAAAACCCTACTTCCAAGCCAGTAGTCCTCTGGTTGAATGGAGGTATATACATATACATGATTTTGTTCCTTTATTTATTTTGACAGAGGGTTAAACCATTTAAACTAATCAAAGCAACTAAGGTCCTTGCTTCTGATATATGAAGGTCCTGGTTGTTCATCTATTGGAGTTGGAGCTCTAGTTGAGCATGGCCCTTTCAAACCGGGTGCCCATAATGTTCTAGTAAAAAATCATTATAGTTGGAACAAAGGTGAAACAACAACTTTGTAATCCTATGCTTTGTTTGAAAGGGGTCATAATATCAAATATGCTTTTTCTTTAAAATCAAAATTGCTTACTGAGTTTTCGTTGTTTTCAGTGGCAAATGTGCTATACTTAGAATCACCGGCCGGTGTTGGATTTTCCTACTCTCGCAATGCATCTTTTTATACCTTAGTGACAGATGAAATTACAGCTAGGGATAATCTTGTTTTCCTACAACGCTGGTTCACTGAATTCTCTGAGTACTCAAATAACGACTTCTTCATTACAGGGGAGAGCTATGCGGGTAAAAAGAAATAATTGAAAATGAATTAACAATTATATTCCTTTTGAAACAGCAATATGGTAACGCAAACTTGTTTTGCAGGTCACTATGCTCCACAACTTGCACAACTTATTGTTCAAACCAAGACCAACTTCAATCTCAAGGGAGTAGCAGTGAGTACCTAAGGGAAATTTTGAATAACTATAATGAAAATAATACGGTATACATGATAAGTATACTAATGTTATCAAATTTATATATGTTAATACTGCAGATTGGGAATCCTCTTATGGAATTTGACACTGATTTGAACTCCAAAGCTGAATTCCTTTGGTCCCACGGATTGATTTCAGATTCAACTTATGATCTCTTCACTAGAGTCTGCAACTACTCCACTATTAGGAGACAAATGATACGTGGGAATCTTAGTGATATATGTGGAAACATAAATACATTGGTGTTTACTGAGCTTAGCGACTATATAGACCAATACGATGTCACTCTTGATGTGTGTTTGTCATCAGTAAATCAACAGTCCTATGTGCTGAATCAAATGGTAAGCTTCATTTGTTACATGCATAACCATCTTAAATGCTTTGATTTATTTTTTCCCTTGCAGTTGTTATATTCATTTTCATTTACATGCCTTGGTATATGATGTAGCAAGAGACACAGAAGATAGATGTTTGTGTGGATGATAAAGCAGTCAAATACTTAAACAGGAAAGATGTGCAGGGTGCTCTCCATGCTAAGCTTGTTGGAGTATCCAAATGGTTAACTTGCAGCAAGTAAGGTTTACTTCTGGCTTCAAAGATGAGACATAAAGGAGTGCATTTAGACTTAGACATGCAGATATATGAAACTTCTAGATATGTTTCCATAGTTGACTTTGACACCATTTTAGACTTATCCCACCTATTAACAAACTATCCACGTTGTGTTACAGGGTTCTCCGTTATGACCGTACAAATCTAGAGATACCAACAATTTCTATTCTAGGGTCACTTGTTCATTCTAAAATCAGGGTTCTGGTATATAGGTAAGCGAATTTGTTGGATCATCTACATTTACTTACCTAACTCCATACATTACCTACCTACCTACCACGATTCAGAAAGGCGTAATATTCTTAAACAACCAAAATCATTTCTCTCTGCAGTGGAGATCAAGATTCAGTTATTCCATTACTTGGATCTCGATCTTTGGTGAATGGATTGGCCAAGGAACTTGGACTGAATACATCAGTGGCATATAGAGCCTGGTTTGAAGGAAAACAGGTCAATACATAGAATGCAACATATAATATATAACATTTTATATCAATGGATGAAAACTTATCATTTAATTTGATTTAATGAATGGATTAATAAAAATTAACTTTAGTGAACAAATATTAAAGGTGTAATTTTATGAAAAGGTTGACGACTAATGTTATGAAAGGTATCATTAAAAAGAAAGTAATACATCTAAGCACTGCCATTTTACTCAACCTTGATCTGGTATGTAAATTTCAGGTAGGAGGATGGACACAAGTATACGGAGATATCTTATCATATGCCACCATAAGAGGAGCCTCTCATGAAGCTCCCTTTAATCAACCAAAGAGATCACTGGGGCTACTTAAAGCATTTCTGAAAGGAAAACCACTGCCTAGTGTTAAACAAAATATAAACTGATTTAATTACAAAGGTGTTTCTAATTCCTTTTACCACAATAAAGTATCGATCCTTCTAGATCCTCATGGGAACTTATTAGTGCTGTTTGGTCTCCTTTTAATTGTTAGCTCAGTTGTTTCTATATCTTGTCTTCGTTCAACGAGTTTTGACAGTGGGTATTGGAATTAGGCATACATATAACATTAATATTACGTTAAACCAATTTTTTTAATTGAATTCAGCTCAGTTTGATGGTTTCTAAAATTTCATTTTATTTTTATGACGTTCAAGATTATTTTTATTCAACAACAAAATAAATAGATTAATAGTAATCAATTAAATCATTATCAACTTCATGTAAAAATGAGATTTTCAAAACTATAAGCAAAAAGGTAATGAGTACTATTCAGGAAGAAAGAGTAACAGCTAAAGCAATATATAATCAATCAAAGCAAATTAATACAGCGAAGGGACCATATGCAGAAATTAATATATTGTTTAATATTGCTAACATATTGTTTTAATTTATCGAAATTATCCAACACAGAAATAGCAACTTATAATTTAAGTTATCGTGCATTGATGAATGTTGCTTAAATTCTTGACAACGTCAAAAAAGAACAGAGTAGTTACTTGTTGATTTTTCTCGAACTTGCACAATAAGTCACAAGAAACAAATGTCAGAAAGGGATTTTAAAAGTTTTCACTTTTACAACATGTTATCCCCTTATCATCGTAAAACGCGACAACAGTAAATTCTTTTAACCAAGCCACAAAACAGAACACTGCAAAATGTAAGGCGATCAATTTTATGAGCAATTAATAGTTTTCCCCAGTTGTAGCAGAAAATAACGTTTTTGGTTCATTGTTGGCAAAAGAAACTAAGTGTTTTGCTCCACAACAAAATGTAGATTTCTACGTAAAAATCAGAACAGAAAGAAATTGTTTAGCTCAAATGTAGCAGAACACCAGACACATAAATAGCTACGGGAAGGTCTGCCAATGTTTTTAACATCAATCGTGCAGTGTCCCCAAAATATCATCGTCTCTATATAAATGATACCTACACAAAAAGCATCCAATTAGCCAAGACTTAAGACATAGATAGCAACTATTGCAACTTGTATAAATAAAACACTGTAATCCACATAACTCCTTCACATAGGCAACTAATATAGTTCTTCGTGTGCATAGTGCATACTATATACTCTGTCAAAATAACAAGTAGCACAACAAAAGGAGAATTAATTGGTGGCCATGAGAACTGCAGACAAAACCTCACGTTCAATGTCAATGAAATATTCCATGAACTAGCAAATTTCCCAAACCTTTATCTCGATGTTTTGTATGTTAATAGTCACACTCAAATCCCACAGTTTGATTAAGTATGAGAATGGCAAGTTAACATAAAAATCACCAGTTTTGTCTGTTAATAGACACCTATTCTCTTACTTAAAACTAATTTTGTAGTGTGACTGAAAATGCATTTTGGTCAATATGTAAATAATGAAGATGCGCCAATAGAAAATCACCAGCTCCCAAACAAAAAAAAAATCTTTTTCATTTTGGACGAGGAGGGTAACGGGTACTATGTAATAAATCATAGCACATATGGAGCTTCAAGTTAATTAAACCCTTGGCATTAGGTAAGTGATAATCTGATTACAAAAAGCAACAAAGTTTATTGAATGAAATCCTTCAATTATAATACTAATGCTATACTTCATAAAGACTAAGAAATTATTGATAAATTCCAATAACAGTTTCAGTCCTATAGCTCTATATCTAGGCATATACAAAAGAAACATCAGATTACATAATGTATGAAGCATCAAACAAAGAAATTCTAAATATTGGATACACAATATTAAGCATAAATGCGTAAAGTTTCCTTCTTCGAAACTTGTTACAATGATTCACAAAGAAGACAGTACCCAGTAGCATTTAGACCAAAAGGAATCAATCAACTTTGGAACAAGGAAATAAATCTTCCAGGTATTATATACACAAAATTAACAAAGCTCAAGTGTAACCATCAACGTTTATATCTACCGTATTAAACTTTAGGATAAAGTGGAAGAATTATATGAGCCTAAAAAATAAGCTAATAACAGGACATAAAAAACATATACATACTCTTTGTTGTCAAGCTTCACCTCAGTTCCCCCATACTCTGGCAAAAGAACAGTATCGCCTTCGTTAACAGCCACTGGAATTAGCTTCCCATCCTTACTGTGAATGCCAGGTCCAACAGCAATAACTTTTCCGGAATTCAGCTAAATCAAACATGAAGAAATACATCAACTCAGCAAACAAAGAATATCACAGTAAATGTGTGACTTGCAGCAATAAATTGAAAAAGACATTGAAATAAAAATAAATAAACCTCTAAGTCTTCAAATTTAATTGCTAATTGGGAATACACTAAGGCAATTACCCTACAAAACAAACAACCACACGAAGACAACCCGAGGACTAATCCCAAAAGAAATGGACAGCAAGAATCAGATTAATTAGTACCCATCTGGGTAAAAATTAGAAACCCCTAAAGAAAATAAAATGGAATGAGTAAAATAGGGAAAATCCATGGCAAGATGAAATTTTGAGATGAATAGCAAAGACCCAAAAAGAGAGATTGAGAAGGGTACGGATGAATTGGATTGGGAGAGTAAACCTTGGAGGATTTCTCCGGTAATAAAATGCCAGCGTTGGTCTTTGATGGAGGCACGATTTTCTCCACCAAAACACGATTGAACAGTGGAATCAAACGCTTCGCCATTTGGAGCACACTACACAATGGAAATGAGAACCTTGACAGCAGCTTCTTGTTGAAAAATCTGAGGTCACACTTGTTAGGGTTTTACAAAGGGTTTATGTTTCTAGTTAAATTTTTATTTTATATTATTTTTGTTAATACAAAGGGTTCTAGAATCTTCTCTCCTCTTCCAATTTTTATTTATAATTCTTTTTTTTTCACTAAGGTAAATGTTGTGATTTTTTTAAATATTATTTTTTTAATAAAAGCTATCTAAATAGGGTTTCTCACTCTATTCTATTTATTATTTTGATTCCCATTAAATTGAATTTCGACTTAAAACATGTTATTTAATTATTATTTTTTTACATTTTGAATATATATATATATATATATATATATATATATATATATATATATATATATATATATATATATATATATATATATATATATATATATATATCCACTTCAGTGATACACACATTGTTTTGAGATGTAAAATGCAAATTCGTTTTTATTATGTTCGAAAATTTGGGTGAGGGTTTACTATATTTATGTAAAGTTAAGTGTAAGAATAGGGAGGTGAGAATAGCAGCCCAGTTAGTTATGCTTCCAGAAACCCAATTTTATTTTGGGCTCCTATTCCTTGAATCTGAAAATATGACCATTGAGAAGCTCATATCTGTTTGCCATTTTCTAACCAGAACAAGAACATTATTAGTAAAAGAAAATAATAAATGTAGAAAAACTGAAATATATATATATATATATATATATATATATATAGGTATAAAATATTGAACAAATATTTTATTTGATTGAATTTTTCATTTCAATGAAAGAAACCTTTATTTAATCTTGGGTGGAATGGTATAGATTTCTTGTGACTCTAATAATCTTCAAGTTCCTTTGCCTCTGAATGTATGAGGATTCAGGGTTTGAAATTTAAAGTTTCTTCTGTTTTCCTGTGTTTTCTGATTCAACAAATTCATCAAACTCCAATCTATATATCCAACAATAAGGAAGAGAGAGAATGAAGAGGGTAACAGAAAAGAAAAGTTACCTTTTTAAAAATAAAATAAAAAATTTATCCAACTTCTTTATAAATTTACTTTTATATTTTTTTAAAATATTAAGTTATTAAATTCTAATTAATTTTAACTTATAAAAAAATATTTTATTTATATGTTTACGAAAAAACTTCTCTAATAGATTTAAATTAACTTTAAAAAAAAAAAAGAAGAAGAAAAGCATATTAACAAATGAAGGAACAACATGACGTTTTCCAAAGCTAATTTTCTATATATATATATATATATATATATATCGAATCATCGCATACATACCCTAATTTGCTGTGAGTAAAAATGTCTGCCATACCTAATTGATGAGAGGAAACCATGTTTAAAAATGTTAATAATGATTCAGAAAACAAATCAAAGGAGCAAAAAGAAACCCAAAGGAAAGTGGAAGTGGAATAAATCATAGACAGGTTGGCTATAATCATATTTGATTTGACCACCTTAAACCTAACTAGTTTTCATTAATATAAGTTTTATGACGATTCTCATCGATCATACTATCTTGCCCTCAATCATGTTGTTCCATAAGTTAGTGGTTTCTGCGTTATGCAAGAACACTAAACAGTAAAATGATTACGTGTATAATCATGTAACATTTCCTCTTTCTTTTTTTTTAATCACAAAATAGAATCTGGTGTTCATATTCATTAGAAAAGGTTCCCTGGCTTTAAGTGGCTTATCTGCTGCACAAATAATGCATCATTCCTCCAAGATCTGTTAGAGAAGCTGCATTAATCAAAATACATATACATATATATAAATAACCCTGCTGCATTAATCAGTCAGTTAATAGCAACCAATTAACATTCAAACGAACAACTTGTTGGTGAATATAAGAGCTCTTTAAACGTGATTAGTAGTTAATGAAGAAAGAAGAGAGCTGAGGATATAAAGAATTTTAGGGCATAATGAGAAGTTTCATGTAGCAGTTATGTTCCAATGATGGTGTGAGGGGCAAAGGGCCATGGGTTTGACTGAAGAGCTAGGAGCAACAGAGCTAAAAAGTAAAATGTAACACCAAAAAGTGGGAAATTCTAGTTGCTTGCGGAGCAAAGAATTCTTTTCTCTAATCATATCGCTTGTACTCATAACGACATTCCCCATCTATGCATTTCATCTTTGCTTCTTTCAATCCAAAGCAGATGCCACTCAATAACATTTCCCAATCCCCATCTTTTAGCTCATCAAACCCCCCTCTTAGCTAGCACCCAAAATGAGACCTCTTGGTGGGTCTTAACCCTAATAAAAACAAAACCAAAAAGAGACCAACTCCAACCCTAAACTTAACTCCACCAACACTGCAAAACTACATCTCTTGCTTAATCAATCACATGACCTTTTCTTTATTTTTGGTCCATCTTTAACCTTTTATGTACAAACCAAATTAGTGGTCTCTCAAATATCAATGCATGTTTGGAATATTTCTGAGAGCAACCATATAATGCAAAGCACACAGTAGAGCATGAAAACTGAAGTCAGGAACATAATTAACTAGCCCTTGACGAATAATAACTAGCAGTATATGCAACTTTTCTTTTTCTTTATCCATGCATTATCATTCCACTCTTCTATAGAATGTAGGGAGAAAATCATGACATTTACCTTTGATTTTCTCACACGAAGTCTCAACACCGCATTCTATATATTACCTTTTTCTACCTCTTCTCCTCTCCATTTCCTACACATGAAATCACTGATATATCTTCTCTTTATCTGATATCTTCCACCACGTACACGCACACACACATAATTAACATCATGGACCTCATATCAGCTTCTAATGGAAGCTTGTATAAGGTGACGATGAAAGGGTAGAAAGAAACATGCAGTACTCTACACTGTAAGGGAAAATATATATACAAACTTTTTTGGCTATTTTAAATGCCACTGATTATTTTTTTTATCAGAAAAAGTCAAAGTATTATCAAAATATTTTTAAAATTATGTTGAAATTCAATTGGCTTATGTTACAATAAATTTCAGATAAAAAAAAAAGAGGCCTAATTGCATAGGAAATTGATGGTTAATTTGGAGTCAAATGGTTAAATTTTGTCAGAATTTGATACTATTCCATTATTTTATATTATCTTATATGAAATTCCGCACTGTTTCCAGTATGTACGATGGACCCTCTGCGCAAGAATTAAACACCTTGTGCACGGGTGAATGTCTTAACTTTTCCACCACAAAAAATTATGTACAAGCTACTTTTAGGAAAAGTATAATTTCTTAAAATAATATTTATGAAATTATTGAAAATTGTCCAAAGTGATTATATATCTGGAAAGTAAATAATTGAAACATTCTTAGCTGCTTTTAGATTTTTTTTGGTTTATTACTTCTTTTTTTACATATAAATATATAATATTATTATAATTTAAAATTATTATATTTTTATATTATATTATTTAATATGTAAATATATTATAATATTATAATTTAAATTATAAATAATAATTAATTAAACTTAAATTATTAATTATAATTAAATATTTTAATTTATAATTATAATGATTTTTTTTTAATTCATCCCATTTTTTATAAAATGAGATAGATTTATCTATTTTGTCACCCATATTTTAAAGTGGTTATTTAATAATGTGTTTTTCATAATCCTTGCTTCCTTCCTATTCAGCATAATACTTCTGCACATATACCTTCAATAAAAAAATATTAAATGAATCCAATTAAAATGGTAAAAACCATTTGACTCTTATTTTTAATAAACAAAATTAATACACCATATATTTGTGTATATGGTGAGTATGAAATGAATCATTTCAAAAGTTAATAATAGATTATGTTGTTAATCATTTGGTACAGTATTATATATATTTTTTTTTCAATTTTGCATGTGACAAACACAAGGGTGAATATGGATTATAACCTTTAACAATATGGAACAAGAAAAAACGAGATGAAGGAAACTAGAAAGAAGATTAAGTACGAAGTTAGAAAAGAAGAAGATAAAAAATATCAAACTAAAAGAAATCGAAGAAGATTTAAAATAAAGGGAAGAAGAATATGTATGAAAATAAATGACTTCTTATATATTTTAAGAAATCAAAATATTTTTTTTATAATAATTTAAACACACATCAAAATAATTGAGAATGACTATGCCCAGTGTTTTTGGAGGTTATGTTAAAGTTCTATTTTGTTATTAAATAAATAATTAGAATTTCATCTCAATTTCTTACAAAATTAATTGTATCACATCATAAATACTTTTAAATCGAATGAAAAAAAAATCTTTTTAACTGCTCAGATTGCCTGAAATTTAGGCAACTGTAGATGAGATTGACAGATTGAGCATGAGTTTATCAAGAAATATTTTTGTAAGAAGAGAAATAATTAAATTAATGTTTTATAAAATAAAATTAAATAAGTTAATTTGTAAAAAATGTTATTTTAAAGTTTTATTTTTAATTTATATATAAAATGATTTCAATTTATGGAAAAGTGTGTATTATTTTATTTTTTCATATTTTTCGCTTGATGAAATTGTTCAAACGTTAAAATATATTAAAAAAATCTCAATTCAGGATAACAACAAAAGATAGATCAAACAAAAGCGCAACATTTTGTTGTGTATATTTTTTTTTTCTTCATCTTTTTTACGTTTTATTTTGTATGAATTGAGAATCTATATTAGAATTAAATTGGAATTGAAATGTCTTAAATGTTTTTAATTATCGTACTTATCTTAAATGTTACATTTTAAATGATTTTTAATTAATAGACAATGCAAAAAACAATTGCATTGGTTATATATATAAAAATTAAACTTCTTTTATTACAGACAAATGCAATTAACATGTTCCTTATTAAAACTTTCTTCAAAAACATTCTTTGTAATTAATCCAATTTATTAAAAACAATTTTTTTTTTGGAATTCTTATGTTTTATTTAATAAGTGTATATGGACTAGTTATAAAATGGAAAAAGTTGAAATTAATCAAGATAAAATTGAAGTTTCATGTGACTATTTAAGAATGATGGTAAATCTTTCAGCTAATTCTTTTAATATTTGGTAAAACAAGTATTAAATAAAAAATGTATTTTAAAACATTATATATAGTATTTTACAGAAAAAATATGTTTTTTTTTCGCTTCAAACTTATAATTTTTATCTTTACTTTCAATTCAGTTTTTTCAACTTTTAAAAACATGTATTTTTATTTTTCTTTATTTTAAAATTTTAATATGTAATAAATTTTATTAAAAGGACTAAAATTTATTTGTAATACTTTTTTATACTTGATTTAACCTTTTACAATAAAAATTTGTTGTCATCATAAAATTGATAAAATAATGAAATTTATATAATATTTTTTTGAAAAATTAGATTAATTAATCAATTTAAAAGTAAATAGATTAAAATAAGTATGTTGAAAAAAATATAATACTAAAAGTGAATTAATTAAACTCTATTTCATATTGAGATTGAGTAAGAGTGAGAAAAAATTATAAAAAAAATGTAGAAAACATTCTTTAAAAGTGGTCAAAAAGAGGTTGAGTGTTTATTTTTTTGTTTTATATAGACACGTGGATATATAGTTGTAATTTTGTTGGTCTAAATACGGGGTTTTAATTGGTGTGTGAGTGTGTATTTTGGTTGAGACCCAAAAATGATGAAGGAAGTGTTGCATTGCATGAGTTTCATGGTGTGTGATTTTGTATAGAGAATAAAAGTGATGGAGGAAGAACATAATGATGTCGAGTGAGAAAGTAGCCACTACATGCATTCTGAATTTCACCCCACAACTCCTTCATACCAGCCCCCACACCAAGCTCCTCCTCTTTTTCTTCTTCTTTTCAATTATCAACTCAACTTTTTTCATAATATATATATATATATATATATTCTTCTTCTTCTTCTTCTTCCTCCTCTCACTATTCAAATTAATAAACTCATGAATTTATTATTCAACTCACATTCTTCTATTACAGTTTACTACAAATCACATTCTAAATTTTTTTTTTTGGTCATTTTACTTTTAATTTTTTGATGATTTTATTTTAAATAGAGATACTTAATTAGGTTTTATATTTTTGTATATCATACTGTATAAGATAATTAGGTTAGGGGTGGTACTTGATCACGTTGATATCACGTCTGCACTTAAGTAATAGACATGAATTAATGAATGGTGGCACTGTGATAATCTTTTCTTTACGTAAGATTACTGATTATGTTATTGACTAATCTATATACAATGTACACAATTTTATTCCAACTTTTTGACTAAATCATATATGTTTCCATGATTTTCTTTTCTCATTTTCTTCTTTGCTTAAATAAAAGAAAAAGAATGTTTCCGTATTCAACATGCCCTAGTCAATTATTTGAGTTGCATAAGTACACATTGTGATATGAAGTTTACACAATAATCAAGTTTTAAACTTTAATCAACTCTTTGACTTAGTTTCATTGTTGCTCAGTAATTCCTTCATTTATCAACAAGCATGAATTGAATGCCATCGTTCTACTTTCTCTCTCCCCGAGGCTGCTGTGGACCCCTGCACCTTTTTCTCCTCCAAGAGCATAAGAAACTAATAAAATTAAGAGAAAATAAATTATATATTCTATCTTTCAACTATTTCATTCTACATTTTTAAAAGGATGTGTTTATGCTTAATATCGTTGTTGGAGGTATATTTTATTTATTTCGTTGTTATTTTTAAGACCTTTTCTTATTAACATTTTTTATTTATAAATTACTTGAACATATACATATATATAAAAGTGAAACTTATATATGAAGGAGAAGCATATAACTTTAGTGAGTAAGTGTATAATGATGCATGGTGAATCGAGTGTGAAGGAAGTCAAAGAAATGATATTTTTCACCATTGCTGACACACGTTTGTCTGCTGAAAATTCTACCAAGATTAGATTGAACTGAAAATGAAAAGGTTTTTGTTTCATGTATAATCAAACTCTCCTACTATGTTTCCAACATCCTTTTCATCAGTTTCTTATTATTATTATTATTATTATTATTATTATTATTATTATTATTATTATTATTATTATTATTTGTTATACCTATTAATTGTATCACTAAAAAACAAGTCGCCAAAATTGGCAAAAAGGGAAATTAAAAACATCCTTCCTAAAGTAACCAAATTAAGAGGCTTAAATCATGCCATCGTAAGATTTACGTGTCATTTTTTAAAATGGATCATAAATAACATTTATGAGAAAAGTTACTTTTTCTATCATTGCAATCTTCTTTGCTTTTGTTTATATATGGATTGAAAAAACTTTTAGATTGCCATTTATTATTACTTCTTCGTTTAAAGAAAGAAAAATAAAGGATATATTTATAAATGAAAGAATTATATATTGTCTGGATAAATATTAATTATAAAATTAGGTGACTTATTTGATTATAATGATGATAAAATTCACTTATTACGTGATTCTTATATAAATAAAAGTTTACATAAAAGAAAAAAAAATTAATTAAATAAATGAGTTGAGGGTTATTATTATATATCGGATTCTGAAAAAAAAAAAAAAAAAAAAAAAAAAAGGAGAAAGTGTATATAACATTGCGTGATCGCACACATCAATTTTCAATCACAAAATCGCATGCTATACACAGTGAAGACTCTTTTCTTTTCCTTTTTGGGCATATCTTCTTCAAGGAATGAGAATAAGACATTCTCAACATACACCACCAACATAATTGAATATCACAATTTGAAAAAATAAATAAATAAAAATAGGCAAAAGGTTAGAATAACACTCTACTTTGTAACACCCTCTTTTTCAACCTCTAAATTCATTCAAATTTTATAAATTTTTATGTCATGAAAAATTATTAAAAATAGGATACAAATCATTTTTATAATAAAAAAATATAACCATATTTTTAACTTAAATTTTTAATACATTTTAGGAACGATTTTTTATTTATTTTCTAAGTTATTGAATTTTTTTATAAAATTTAATTGAACCATTTATCACAAAAAAAATAATTAATATATTTAATAGCATTAATTTTATCCTGAATTTATAATTTTTTTATAAGTATCTTTGTATTTCTAAAAATGATTTAACTTCAATTATTTTAATACTTTTTTCATTATTAAGATATTTATCATTTTATAGTTTTATTGGCTATTCTAATATTATGCATGTGAATAATCAAATTAACATTTGAAAATATTCTTCATATAAATATGAAATTAGATTAGCAAAAAAAATCTAAACTATTAATTCATTTTGGTTATTGGTTCGTTGAATCTAAATAATTCATGATTATTAATACAAGAGACTTCTATAGACTCATTATTGTGAAAATGATAAAAATTAAAGCTTTAAATTGAGTATTATAAAAAATGACTGTTATAATTTTATAATAACAGTAGAAAATCTGCAAAAAGTGTTAAAAATATATGTTTATTTCTGTTGAAAAAGTAGATTAACAAAATGATTCAACTCACATGAGTTAGAGTTTAAGAAACTCAAAACCCCATCTCTGCCCTTCTTCTCTTACTCATTCTTTTCCACTTTCTCCCACTCAAACACCAAGCCAACTCTCTCTCTCTCTCTCTCTTTCTTGCTATTAGTTGTAGCAATCTCTCTCATTAGCTGTGTGTTGTTTGTCTTTGCCTAAAGACTAGAGTTCAGTGTTTCTTTCATTCTCAGCAAAAAAAAAAAAAAAAACGAAAAAAAAAAAAACTTGGCTCTGAAATCTGTACCAGACATTTTCTATATACTAAGGAGACTGGCAGCAAGTTCTATGCATGTTGGCTCTCTCCTTGCATTGACTTTCCTACTCTTCAAACTCCTAGGCTCCTATACAAAAGATAAATCCCAACCAAAAGGCTTCTTTTCTAGATAACATAACCAAAACCAAAAGGGTTTTTCATCTCTCAACCACACACCACCAAGCATCAACCACACTCACATAAAATAGGAGACCAGAAACAACAAGAGTGTAGTGCCATACTCCCCTATGCAATGATTTGTGTGAAGAGCAAGAACCAAAAGATGAGCTTTGTTGTCCTCTTTCTGCTCCTTCTTCTGTTCCTAATCTTGAGCACTACCCCATGTCAGGCTGCTGCAAGGAAAGCCAGATTTGAGAGATTTAAAGGTGGTGGTTCTTCTGCTTCTGAGTTCAAACCCTTTAACTTCCATGGTGCTGCCCTTCAAGGAAACAGTGCACACAAAGAGGGAGACCAAGTTTTTGGTGCAGACAAAAGGAAAGTGTACACAGGTCCTAATCCTCTACACAACAGATAAGTTACTTGAAGAGACATCCTCAATGTTTCGAGTCCTCAAATCCTATTTCTTAATTTTCTCTTCCTCTTTTTTCTTTCTTAGTATTATATTACATTTTGAAAGCATTTTTTGTGCTTATAAGTCTTTTCCTTTTCCCCCGGTAAGTTCACAGATGTATATGAAAATTCTTAGGTTTGAGATTATATTGGTGATGATGAGAGAACATATAGTTAAAACTATTTTTGAAGAGAAATGGTATATATGATGATGATGATGATGATGAGTTTTCAGATGTATGAAAACTATTATTTTTGTTTGGGCTTGTTGTTGGTGCGATGGAGCGAATATTGGTTAGGTAAGGTAAGGTAATGCCATGATGATGGATATGTTTGTTTGCATGCTTCCAGGATTCTCACAGACATCATCAGGTTTTCTATATTTAGCTAAGCTCTTGCTGGCTCACAGAAGAAAGTGTGTATGGCTAGCCCGCATGTAAATCACAATAATAATACATCATTTAGCAATGAATATTGTGATATAGTTTTATGTACGTACATTATTACATTGTAATGAAAACCCTTTTTAGTTTTGCTAAAACACATTTTTGTTTTTAAAATTATATGTTTATCTCGTGCTTTTTCTATGGAAAAATGCAGTGTTCATATGTTCAACTATTTTCAAACTGACCCTCTTTGCTAAAATGTCCATTCCTTGGTGACAGCAAAACTTGAACCTGTTTTTTTTGTCTTCACTGAGAAAGTTTAATTTAATGGTTGAACCACTTCATTTATCTTAATTCTTCATGACCAGAATGTGTATAGTTCTATAGCTGGTTTGGTACGTACCAAACCACCATAAAGTTTACCTGCAGCTAAAAATTAAACCTTAATTTCAGAGAGAATACTCTGAGGTTTGTGGCAATGTAGATATGTATTATTGGGGCCCAAAAATTAGTCAACATATAATATCATCGATGAAGTTAAAAAAATTAAAGGTGTCATAACACAGTGATTCTTGTGAAATCGACGGTGTGATGAGATGAATTCTGAGCCATGGATCTGCATAAAATTTTTCAACCTACAACAACACTTTTAATCATGAAGCTGAGCAAGAATCAAATGTCCATAGCCGTCCAGTCATCTTAATTTCTCTTTCGTGATTATGAGTCAGGCCCCACCTAAGTTTCATTTTTTTCCATTCTGCTTATGCCAGCCATATTTCCACTTACTGAAACAACAAAAAGAAAACATAAATAAAGAATTCATGTTTATACAACTAATTATTTGGTTATTAATCATCTTCAATCTCACCAAATCTCATTAAGAACCTCATTATCATGATCTAACAAATTTCCTTTGTAATGTTTAAAACATCTTAACTAGAATTTAACCTAAATCAATCATCAAAGTGATAGGATTTACATTTTAAGGAGACCCTTCTAGCCATGTTGCAGAGGATACAATAATTATTTTTTTTGGGTACAGAGCATACAATTATTTTGAGAGCAGATATTTTGTCCTTCATCATTCGAACTGTTTTTGTGCAGTGTGAACAATTTCTGTTTGGCTGTAATTGCATCGGAATTATGGAGAATCCACAAACAGCCAAATTTGACATTTAATGCACACTTAATATAAATCCAGGGTCAATTTTGAGCACCAGATTTTTGAGAACCTCAAGTTACTCCAGTGGTTAAAAAAAAAATCAGTAAATATTTATTTAATGTTTTCAAAATTTTAGATATATTTATATATTTTTTTAAATGGTACAAAATTACTAAAAAGGTATAACATAACATTTCGATAAATTACATGTAAGTACACATTCTAAAATGTAAAGCCTTTAACTGTGATGATAATATAATATCTATGGTTAAATTTGATATTTGAATCAACAACTGTGCCTTTTAAACGTACCCTGGTTCTAAAAAATCTAGAATTATATACTCTACATAGGACCTGGATCTTGAAATGGATGATGATGCATGGGACAAGAGAAAGATTTGAAATGTTGAGAAAAGATGAGAGTTTGGTTAACCGTTGCTAATGAGTAGTGTGGTTGGAAAAAAAAGAAAGAAAAGAAGGGAAAAACACAAATGTAAGGAGGGCAATATCAGAAGAGCAACTCACGAGCATGTCAAGTCATTTTCCGGGCAACAGAATGTCACAGTAGCATAAATGTACACGACAAGGCTGGCATTTAAAGTAAGGTTCCACTTTCAGAGAGACTCATTTGAGTATATTTAATGAAATGAAGCAGCAAGCATTAATGGTGCATATGGAGAGGACAAGAGATTTTCCATTTCATTTGAATCTAGAGTTGAATCTCACTCTCATTTACATGGCTAGTTGGGTAAAGTGACTCATGTTTCAGGACAATTAGGACACATGAGAGCAAAGATTTTTGCAATGCTTGTAGCAGTGGAACTTGGATGGAGAAATTGGACTAGCCCTTTTACCCAATGCACTGTCACAGAGGAAAGGAGAGAAGGGTCCACGTCTATATCACAAATATAGTAACGAAATCTTTAATTTCTCCTTATGGCATTTGCATGCTGGATTTGTAGCTGGGGACAGGAAAGTACTTGGACACACAATATGCAGAAGAAATTTATTCCTTACAAGCTTCATTCAATAAAATGTGGAAAAAAAGGGAGAGGGAATAGGTGCAGCTACATACTTTGTGATATCAAGGTTCAATCAATTGCATGGCATTCAATATATCATGATAATGATGGTGAGGTTCAAGTTAACAAACATGAATTTCATTAAGATAAGGATCCCTGAGTTTTGACCATTTAAAAAGAAATAGTACAAACAGTTTGATACTGACATACTGTTCATTCACTATCACACTAAAATAATATTATTTTGACCAAATCATACAATAATTTTTATAACGTGAGTTTGGGATAGGTTTTTGAGGAGAAAAGATTACCCACTTCTTGTGAATTGGAATCACTACTACAATCTATGAGTGACTCATTTGTGTTTTGGTAAAAAGATTAACATCTAATATCTATTATTCAATTTAAACCAAGACTCAAAATATTTATATGCCCAGCGCCAGGTAAAGCCTGTGATGACAATAGAAAATGGTGATCTATGTTTTAAATTACAGGGATGTAACACAAAATAATTTACAAGTCTATCCAAGAGTTTATATATTTGAGATTATTGATTCATGAAATGCTATTAGAGTTCATTTGATCAAACAGTTTAGGACTTTGTTCATCTTATTATTTTTTTCAGGGTGTTAGTTTTCATTTTTTTTAAATAATAATTTTAGTCTGATCATCAGTTTTGTATATATCTATTTTTTTGTTTTGGTTCAATTGAACCTAGATCTAACATTTATTTAAAGTGTCATATAAATAATTTCATTAATTAAAATAAAAATACAAGTAAAATTGAAAGTTTGACTAAAATTACTTGTTTTTTTAATATATAAGAACTAAAATAAAAAAATAGAGGAATCAAATCAAATATTAGAAATTAAAAAAAGGAACAAAATTGTATTTTAGCCAAAGTTGCTCTACTTTTCCCTTTGTAAATGTATACTTTTTTAATTCTATGGAACCCTAAAAATTTAAGAACTTCAGTACTGTTGTTGAGAAACTTTCTTTCCCTCATTCTCTCTTCCTTTCCCTGTGCAAACTCATTCAACTATTGTACCAAAAGAACATGTAGTACCATAGCAACTCTCTTTTTCTAATTGAATTCGATATTTGTTTCACCAGATAATTTTTCACTATGTACGTTTGGGAGGGTGATATGTAACCGAGTCAAACATATCAAGGAGACAAACTCCTCAGTGCATTAAAGGTGGTTTTAATGAAAGAGCATAGATTGAATTGAAGTTAATGTAAAAGTGTAATAATAACTGCCTGACTTATGCCATCAACAACTCTCAACTACTAATAATTTTCAGCTGTCACAGGACACGGATCTTTGTTTGGGAGAAAATCAAGGGAGGAAGCATACAACACAGAACATTTTTCTTAAACGGATATTACTGTGTCAGTTGTAAAAGGATTGCTTAGAAGCAGGGTGAAGGGAGAGGGCTAAGATTTTTTTTTTCAGACAGACATGGGATATGGGATATTCAGCTTTTTAGTTTGTTACTTACTAATTTAGTACTTTACTTGTGAATAGCTACTCAGTTAATGAGATTCTTTATGTGCACCAGAAGTAAGGTGCACAGATGACATCAATATATCAATATGATTTTTATAAAAACTCAATATACACACTAGTAAAAAGCAGATACACAGAAAGGAAGAAACAATTTACTATAACACAGGATAATGATAATTCTTTGGTTCCACATGGCATGACCAACCGTCAAAACTAGGAGCATACACGTATGATGTGATCTCATTTAGTAAATTGGATACCATGAAGTTCACTCAATTCATTATAACATATGAAACACCTATATTTCAGTGTGCTTTACATATCTGTATCAAATATGAATTCGATAATATTTTTGGACATGTATAGGAGAAATATCCTGTAAAAAAGTTGTGAAAAATCAATATGATGAGACATATAAATATGTACGTATAGACAGCATGGAAGCAATTTCTATTCACCCGCCCTAAAGATAATTTCGGAAGAAAAATGAGATAGAAAGTATAATCCCTATTTATAAGTAATAAACAATTTGTCATGACATCAATTTATGATTTTTGTTTTTGGTATTGTCCAAAAAGAATGTCTTCCTTAATTTGGATTTACAATATATATATATATATATATATATATATATATATATATATATATATATATATATATATTTATTGTACATAGACACGTATCTGCATGAATCATGTGCTCTTTTTAGCATAATTTTATCACTTGCATATTGTATCTGTGTGTCATAGATTGTAATATGTGCCACCTAAGCTTTATTAGAACCTTCCAAATCATGGATGTAAGAAAATTAAATTAGGATGACAGCCCCTCAGAATATATTCCCAAAAGATTCCCAAGAAAAAAAAAATGTCCAACCAGAAGGGAAAAATTATTTCTTCAGCTACTTTATCATAAAAAAAAAATGCGAAAGATGACAGTGGTTGAACTTCGAAATTCTACGCATTTTATTATTTGTTTATATCCAACATGTGATGTCCCTCTCAATAATCAAAGCGACTCAACCGGCTCAGAACACAAGCAGAAGTGAACAGCATTACATTTACATTTGTGTTTGCTGGTTCTCTGATTCTACAGGCAGGGCCCACTGGACAGGAAACACCAACATAAATACATACTCAACAACAGTGGGCAAACAATGTACCTATCATGCAGGTTCATGACTAGCTTTAGTAACTCATAGTTTGGAGGCATGACTAGTAACTTTACACAAAGCAGTAGCTGCTTTGGAACCAGATGCACGTCCTAAATGCTTGCAGATGAAATTCCCAGCCAGCATAAGCTTTTCAAGGTCCACATTTGTTTTCACTCCAAGTCCATTCAGCATGTAAATGACATCCTCAGTGGCTACATTCCCAGTTGCACCCTTGGCATATGGACAACCTCCAAGACCAGAAACAGATGAATCCACTGTGCTGATCCCCATCTGTAAAATAAATGACCAGACCAAATTTAACCAAATAGGAATTGTTTTGGAAGATACACAGAAGTTGTGAATCTTCAGTTCTACTTCTTTCTATTCGTACATGCATCTCCTTGTTTAAGCATGAACAGTTATTTTTTATTTTTTAGACTGCACGAGCAAATATTATCTTGCTTGGCAGAAGTAAACGATTAGGCCTATGTAGTGGTTGTTAATCCAATTTATTCAAGTCAGAGTGAACACGACAAATTTATGACAAGGGACAAGAGCACAACCCAGGTTAACCATTTTGATAGAAGAGCTAAACCAAAAATTGTCCAAGTTGTTGATTTTGGTGCGGTGATTGTGGGAAGATCAAATATAAAAACATAAAAAATCCTACGGGCTGTCCCCATAACATGTCAGCATCCGAACATGGAATTTACCTGAAGTGAAATTAAAATATTTGAAAGCGCCTGACCATAAGTATCGTGAAAATGGACAGCAAGCATGTCAGTTGGAGCAACATCAAGAACAGCTTCAAGCATCGGAATGACAGTACCTGTAAAGATGAGTACGATTAAGTCAAACTCAGAAAATATGATAAACCAAAACATTCAGGATATAAAAATAAGTACAATAGATAATATGCAAGAACTCATTAAAGACTGCTTTAGTGTATATGTTTTGAAAAAAGAGAATAAATGAATCTTCTTAATCAGTTGTTTATAACTACAGCTAATTGGAAACTTCCCTGCATCATTAATTTCCGTTAAGGTGACAATATTTAACTATGATAATGGCTTTTCTAGAGAGAGATGTCCTTTTCCTCACATCAAAGATCTCATTCTCCTTAGATATTTTATTACATCAATTAGAAAATACCACATTTCAATAAATTCCTTGTCCAACACAAATACGAAAAAAGGAAACTATCTCCAGAAAATATCCACAACGACCTCATGGAACTAAAAAACATTTTTGATAATGAGGATTCTCTATATGCAATCCATCAACTAAACAGTTGAGACAGCATTACAATATAATAAACGAGTCAGTCAGATAAAAAAGATCCATGGCCTTTTAACAAGTCAGATAGATACACCAGCCAGCATCGCAACCAAAGCTAAACTTGCTTGCACAACATAAGAGACAGCAACGAGAGAAACATTACCAGGAGTGCCAACACCAATTGTATCACCCAGTGAAATCTCTGCGCAACCCATCTCATACAGTGATTTTGCCACATATGCTACTTTTGCTGGAGCAATATTTCCTTCCAGAGGACATCCCACAACACATGATATATATCTGAAATACGGTCACATGACTGGTAAAATAATTTACTATGACGAATTTTGATTTTGAAGTGAAGCTTAAGACAACACTGCTTGAAGATTATTCAAATCATTTAAAAGAAAAATTTGTAGATTCTAAGGAAGTCGAGGAAACATTCTACTGTCTGCAAAACCATTTGTATAATCTAAATCATCTTTCAAGCTATGACCTCATCCAACCAAATGTAAGTTCAATGTGGAGATATTATAGGACAGCATCTGATGATGAGAATACCACCAAATACCGTCATTAACAAAACAATTCACCATCTATTTCAATTTCAACCTGATACCACTAAATCAATTAAATCCTGCAGGTAAAAGAATCTGTCAACATGGCAATAGTTCTTCACCTCGAGTTATTTTTCCACTAATAGATGTAAATTACCAAACCATTAGGCAGCCATATAAATCCATGTGAAAGTGGAAATATTTGATAGCCAGAAAACTGATGCTTAAAGATTATTATTAAAATATTAAGTCCTTTAATGTCTGCAAATCAGGACGTGTCCAATAAAGAATTTGACCATATATTTCAATGAGCCTTTCTGTTTAAACTAGAAGAATATGTATATACAAAATTTCAGAAAATGCAAAAATTTATCAATTTTTTATAGTAGAAAATGACAAGTATCAATTGAAAATTATACCCACGAACTGGGATCGAGAGGCTTCCAGCAGCGGAAGCAATATCGCGGCAGCGAGCAAGATTATCCTCAATGCCACAATTTAAATTTGCTTTTGAGAATGATTCAGAAGCTGCAGGAAAAACAGCCACTTCTTTAGCGCCAGCAGCAACAGCTGCCTCAAAACCCTGGAAGAGAGGGGTTCAGATAACCATGTGCATCGACAAATTCTTAGAGTTATATATTTTTACCATTCAATATAACTCTTACTTTAATGTTTGGAGTCAAGACAGGAAACCTAGCACCTACAACATTTTGAATTGCTGCCAACACATCCTTTGCATCTGCCAACTGAATTCACTAAATATATGAGAAATTTGTTCACCAGGAGATCACATTACTCATTAAAATATTTGGTAAAAAAAAGGTGTTTAGTTGAAATGCAATTTTGAAAGCACAACAGAAATCATAACTTACACTTCAACCTTAGGCCATAGACCATGTGAAGAATTGAAATGGGGAATAGATTACCAAAATGCAAATTTAACCATCACTTGTCACATTAATTTTTGAATTGAAAAATCATAAATTTTATAGAACCAAGACACTAAAAAACACAATGAAAAATAGCTTGATTCAGAAACAAAATGAATTGTGAATTTTAAATCTTAGAATCAAGACACTCAAAAACACAATGAAAAATAGCTTCATTCGGAAACACAATGAATTGTGAATCATAAATCATTTTAAACTACTAATCACAAATCAACTGAACCATAAATCTCACAAAATAAATAATAAGTCACTCATCACAATTTGTCTGGAAGCTAAAAGAAAAAAAATACCATAACACAAATAAGCAAATGAAATCATGAGCCACAATTCATTGTGTCTTCCAAGTGAGGTGCAGATAGAGTTAGTGGACGACCATGTGAAGCCTCTTTTTCAAAAGAATGGAAAAAAGCAACGAAAAAATCAAATAGGTTGCCGAGTCATGAGAGTGACTATGTGAATCCCTATTTCAGAGGAATGAAAAAACAGAGCAATGTAATGATCAAATAGGGTGATTTTGTGCTCCTTTAGTTCCTTTCCATCTTAACCATGTAAGATATATATAAACTTTTCAGTTTCTAATGAGAATTGGTGAAAGAGAACCAGAAAAGGAAAAAAAAAATTGCTAAATCATTGAATTCATACTGGTGATATGAAATTGCATCAATTCATGCATAGAAACCACAAATAAAAGCTGTCTATTATTCATCACATGGTACTGATACAAAATGCTAGCTTGTATTCAATTGTGCAATTTGAATGGTCAGGGGTTTTTCGGATGTATAGGAGGGTTGGCCAATCTCTCTATTGGATTGGAATGAAGAAGATGGTAGCAGAGTTTGTGACAGCGTGTTTGATTTGCCAGTAGCATAAGTATTTGACTTCCTCACCACAGGGGCTGCTACAACCTTTGCCCATACCTAATGCAGTTTGGGAAGATGTAAGTCTGGATTTCATAGTCAGTCTTCCTAAATCAAATGGTTATGATGTCATCCTAGTAGTGGTAGATAGGTTGAGTAAATATGGGCACTTTATACCGATTAAACACCCTTATTCAACCAGGAGTATAGCTGAAATTTTTGTCAAAGAAGTGGTAAAGTTACATGGGATTCCTGCGTCAGTAGTCAGTGATAGGGATCCCACTTTTCTAAGTCTCTTTTGGAAGGAACTGTTTTGGCTACAAGGGACAAAACTTAACATGACCATGGCTTACCATCTAGAGTCAGATGGTCAAACCGAAGTTTTAAATAGAACGTTGGACACATATTTAAGGTGGTTTAGATCTTAACAGCCCAAGACGTGGTCCTTGTCTATTCCCTGGGCAGAATACTGGTATAACACCAGTTTTCAAGGAGCAGCCAAGAGAACTCCTTTTGAAGTGGTGTATGGCAGGCCTCCACCTTCACTCAGCAGATTTGTACCAAAGGAGACTGTCATTGAAGTGGTGGCACATGATTTGATGACAAGAGATAAAACTCTTAATCTCAAGTTTCACTTAACTAGAGCACATGACTAAATTTGCGAATAGACATAGTAAACCATTATCAATAAAAGTGGGGGACTGGGTGTTTTTGAAGATTCGCCCTCATCGGCAAGTTTCAATGCCAACTAAGTTGCATCCTAAGCTATCAGCCAAATACTAAGAGCCTTTTCTAGTGCTGAGACAAGTTGGACCAATAACTTTTGGTTTGCAACTTCCTGCGACAACTAGGATCCATCCCATTTTCCATATTTCCCAATTGAAGCAGGTTGTAGGAACGCATCAAGTGGAAAGAGAGCTGCCAGAGGAGCTACAAGGAAGAACCTCTGCTTGTCTTCCCAATAAAGTGCTTGAGAGAAGGACTGTACAACAATCAGGGCAAGAAGACCCAATTCCTCAGGTTCTGATTCAGTGGCAGGATAGAGGAGCTCATACAGCTACCTGGGAGGATGTAACTACTATCAAACACCATTTTCCAGACTTCAACCTTGAGGACAAGATTGTTTGTACAGGGGAGGGTAATGTTAGGAAATTAAATGTATATGTAAAAAGGAAGAAAATAGAAAGTTAGTTGGTTGGTTCGGTGGTTAGGCGGTTATAGTTTTCCTAATAGGAAGACTATATATATAGGTGGGTTTTTGTTGTTGGGGGATATGTTTTTGTATGTTGAGAGTATAGACAGGATTGTTAGTGTCCTGTGAGAAGGGGAACATCACCCCTTGATAGTGTTCTTGTTGTATGATTATTGAGAAACGAATAAAAGAAGAGTATACAGTTTTGTGAGACTGTTTTCTATGTTCTCTGTGAGTAAAAACGTTTTTGAACCGGTTTCTTCTATCAAGAAACCTGACACACTCATTTTCCAACAACCTTTCCGAAAAATTGTTGAATGCTGTCAGAACAATACAAATAATAACAAGGCACTAGACACCACCCCCAGCAAAAAAACAAATACCGTAGAAATGTAGGAAGATTAATCAAAATCTCTGGATAAATTAAAGTGAAAAATAACAGATCGTATAAGATGTATTAAAAGAATGTAAATATGACAAAAAATTAAAAAAGTCCAAGAAACGAAAAATAAAGATGAGGAATATTAAAGATTATATGACAATATTAAGGGGAATATCACAAATGATTGTTTCTATAATATACTCTTACCTGGGGTACCCATTTTGGTGAGACAAAACTTGTCGCCTCAACAACAGACAATCCGGAAGAAACCAGTAGTTGTATTAGCTCAACTTTTACATTAGTAGGAATAATAGCCTTCTCATTTTGCAATCCATCCCTTGCACCAACCTCCACTATCTTTACATAGTCTGGAATAGTTTTAAGAAGCTGAAGCATTGTATGTATTGTCAGTCATATATTCTCCAACATGACAATCATAACAAAAAACATTAAAGAAGAAAGGAAATGCTTAACTAGAAATAACTACCAAAACATAGTATTACTTATCAGCGTTGAATGTATGAAATCAAAATTCAAATTACGGACATGCATTTTTCATGAAAAGAAAATTATAGGTTCAACATGACAGCTGTAATTATGTATTAAGGTAAGCATGTGTTCTCTTCCTTGTTTAACAATATATTCAAGTTTAAATACATAACAAACAGAAAAAATAGTATACTTAAGACCAACTGCACCTTACTTGAGAACTCCTTTGTGCATATATCATTGCGATCAGATGCAAAATGACGATTTACCACGTAGCAAGAAGCATGACTACAGTAATTTGGCCTTGAAGTCCAGTTGAGACATTGAGATGAACCTTTTATGTTGGCCTTGTCAAATTCATTCCTAACTTCTCTTGTGTCTGTGATTTCCCTGGTGCATTCAAGATTGGGAAAGTAAAGAAATCATCTAAAGTAATGACCATTCTTTCCTCAAAAAAAGTAACAAACTAACATACTAAATCAGCAAGGAGCAAAACCAAACAATACAGAATAATTTTATAGACTTTCTGCAGTGTATACACATATTTTTACACTTGTCTCGAACATTAATAATTTACTGACATTAACATTTGCTTTTTCAGTATAAAGCTACAACTTGTCATCAACTACCAATCAATTTGAATGTTACCATGCGGCCAAATACCACACAAATATAAATATTCATAACACTCATAGTTCACAAACATGCAGAAGATGAAGATGATCACAATTCACACATAAAGTTCATACTCCAAACCTATCGAAGAATCACAACACAACCAAACATCCTAATTCTACACAAAAATATCTTCAAAATACAACGTATGAGCTTCTATAGACTAAGATGGGTTAAAATTTCCGGTGTGGCTCCTAAACTTTCATGCATTCACCATCCAAACAATTTTCAAGTGGAACTCAATAAGAATTCAATTAAAATAAAACAATAATCAAACAATTGGCTTCCCTTACAACACTAATAGAATAAACCCAGAAAGGACAAACTCATTTCGATTCAAGAGAACCCAGAATGAAGGCCCAAAAATTGATCTTCCTGTTAGAGGATCATTCGTGAAAAAAAATATCCCCGTACAAAGAGAACAAAAAGAAATTGGTTACCGGCAAATATTACCAAACATGAAGGGATTCATCTCCACAAGAGCGAAATGTGTGAGAAGGTGAGAAAGCAGTAAATAGTTGCTGAGGAGGATTAAAGAATGGACGACCCCTTTGCAGAATCTTGTGCATAGCCATACTTGCAGGTGTTCAGAGTAAGGAAGGTGGATGTAGGACGATGGCTTAGTTTGGCCACGAGAATGTTGTTGGATAATTGCAAAGGAAACTATACATTCAACAAAATAGGAAAGGGAGCATGAGTTGTACTTGGATAAGGACAAACATTATAATAATCACTTTCAAATCTTCAACATTTTTATTTGCATTTTTTAAACTTTTTTATGCATTTTGAGTTATCATATTGAGCAAAACTTGGTTAGACATTGCAACAAGGATAATGTTTTAGGGACAAACCATTAAATTTTATGGGTACCCCTTACTTATTATCATGTTTTCAACAATGACATCTTTCATTAGTTATTTCTCATATTAAAATAAATAAATCACTTCTCATATTGAATATGAATATTTGTGAATTTTATTCTATTAAAAGAATTTTAATAAATTTTGAACAATTTTTTTTATTTTTTCTCATTTATTTTATTTTGTTTATATTTATAAATTGTTTAATAATAATTATTAAAAATTTTAAACAACATAAAATTTATTTTACACTATTAATATTTTAATAATAAATTTTATTAAATATACTATATTTTAATTATCACAAGTTTGTGCACGTTAATAAATACTTATTTACTTAAATAATTATATATTGATTAATATATATGATTATTTTTATAATTTTTTTTCACTTGTTAATTTTATTATATTTTAAGACATCATTATATTTTAAATATTTATATATTACATGTATAAAAATATGAATTTTACACATTTATATTATTTCTATATCAGAAATAATTATTAAAATTGATAAAAAAAATTTTACAAGTGGTTGATTTATCAATTATATTTGTGTTCCATCTATTTATGTTAATATTTTAGTTATAAAACATATAAGAGATAACAAAAACGAGTGAAAACAATTATCATTTTAAATAATACAATTATATATATATATATATATATATATATATATATATATATATATATATATATTTCACCTTCATTATCATACTCCATTTATTTTATATTATGAATATTTGAATTAAATTTGAAATGACTAGTCGGGATAAATTAATTTTAATCACGATATTTACTAATTTCAATCCCTAAGATTCAACCTCCATCTACAATATTATCAAATTTTTATAAATAAATATTATTTTTTTAAATAAAATAATATAAATTAATAAACCGGAATCAGTGCGTAATTAGATATAAAACAAATAAATATAAATAAAATTGACATGTACGTAGTTGGAGATAAATCAATAAATATAAAATAAAACTAGTGTATATCTAGAAATAAAATAAATAGATCAATGAATAAGTGAAAATAGATAAATATATATAAAATAGGATAATTTGAGATAAATAAATAAATATAAAACAATATCAATGTGTAACTAGAGATAAATAGATAAATATAATACAAGATTAATGTATAACTGGAGGTAAATAAATAAATATAAATGAGGATCAAGACGTGACAAAAGATAAATAAATATAACATAAGACCAATATATAACTAGAAATAAAAAAATATAATAAAATAAGAATAAGGAGAATAAGGTTAAAAACACCTATTTCCACAATCATTAATAAAAATAAATAAATGTGATAGATATTTTCTTTTCTTATTTCAATAATGGCATATGATGTATCAAAATTTTAGAGTCATGATTTATATATTTTATTTCTCTTTCTCTCATTCTTTTTATCTCTCTTATTTATATCCCTTTATCTTTCTCTTTTCTCTCTCTTTTTCCCTCAACTCTTATTCGGAAACCATGATTTCATTTTAATACTAAAAAGTAGGAAGAAAAAAAATATATTTAATTTTTCGTATCTCATGTACTGAAATGAAGGATGTTTCAAGAAAAGAAAAGGGAAAAAAATAAAATGATTAATAAATAAAGAAGGGTATTTCATTATTTGATAAAAAAATTAATGGAAATAAAATTTAGGGATATTAATGAGAAATGAGGAGTTAGTTATTTATAATTTTAATCTCCCAATTATTTTAATTTTTTTTTTAAATTTTGTAACTTATATTAATATTTATGATTTGGTCTTCTCAAATTTAATCATTATTAAATATATTGTTTTATTTATTTATTGATAATATATTATTTGACTCAGTTAAAATTTTAGGTTGCAATTCTACTATCTAACATTAGATTAGATATAGATTTTAGGTAAGATTCATATAATATATTTTTTTTGTATTTCATTTATCGTAATTTTCCAAATAATAAAAGAGTTACATTACGGTATATAAAATATCACTCAAATTGTACAACTGATTATTGATAAAATTAATAAATATTTTATAGTAATATAATTAAAAAATTATAAAGAACTTCATATAATATAATATATATATATATATATATATATATATATATATATATATAATTTATTTTTTCTCTTAAATTACGAAACCTAAAATTAGGATGTTGATATAGTGCGTGAGTAATTGTAAGTTTTTGAAGTAACAGAGTTTAATTTCATCGAATTTTGACTAGGGATGGGAAAACGGGTCAGCCTGCCCGTTTTTGCCTCGCTAAAGCGGGCGGCGCAGGTTGGCCCGATATAGTCATGACGGATCGTAAACCTTGGTCCGCCTCGCCAAGAGACGGGTTGACGGGCTGGCCCGCCATAATTTAGAAAAATATATTTTTTTTAAATAATTTTTTTAAATAAATTTAATAATAAAATTATTATTTGTTTGTCAATAATTCAAAATATATATATATATATATATTATTTCAATTTAATAATATAAATCAACACATTATTTTAAGAAATTATAATTTAGAACAATAATAAAATTTACATAACAATAAATAATAACAAATATATATACATACATACATATATATATATATATATATATATATATATATAAATAACGTTAAACTTATAAAATTTATATTTTTTATATTGAAAAATTCAAATACCTATATCTTTTTTATTTCATAAAACTTCATATTATTCTTGGTTGAGTAATTCTTACACCATTAATTCAAGTAATAAGGATAAAAATAATCAATCCTTAGGATAAACAAGGAGAACAGGAGAGAAGGTTATGTTTCGGGAAGGAGAAGATTTTCTCGTGAGAATAAAATTTTTTTAATTCTCTTTTTAAAATTTTTAACTTTATATGTTATCTTTATAATTAATTTTATTACAATAAAAAATTATTTTTTTATTAATTAGGCGGGTCACGGGCGGCTCGCCTCGTCCGCGAGGTTGGCCCGACGGGTTAGCGGGCTTGGCGGACGGGCCAAAGCGGTCGGGTGGGCTGAAAACACCAACCTGCCCCGCCATATTTATGGCGGGTCGTAGGCTGACTCGCCGGGCCTAGCCCGTTTTGCCATCCCTACTTTTGACGTATCTTTTTCCTACAAATTCATCCACTTTTTTCATGGGCTCTACTATCTTCATCCATCTTTTTTCCTATTTTTACCTCCATATTTTGTTTGTTGTTATTTTTTTTAAATATCTCTATTTAATAATTGTATAATATACCCAACAAAGCATAATAAAAATAATTTTTTATATTATAGTTATTCATAAATGAAAAATCGGTAGAGATTATATTGTATTTGAACCCAGTATTTTAAAGTTGATACTCTAACCACTAAACTACTATAATTTTCTAATAATAATCAGTAAATATACAAATAAATATATATCCGTGTAAATATATAAATATAAAATATATAAATACATATATATTTATATAGTTATATATTTATATATTTATATGTTGGATGTGAAGGTGCACTCGAGGATGAAAATGAGATTGACTCTTGCTTAAGTAAAAATACATTAAAGCTCACTGAAATTCACTCGCTCAAGCCTCGCTTGAGCGAAAATTATAATTTTTCGCTTGAGCGAATGATGTATTTCCCAAATTTATTTTATATCATTATATAAATAAATTATAAAGATTATATTCTGTCATTAAATTACAAACTCATATAAAGAGACTCACTCATAAAATTGACATCAAATTTTGAAAATTCACTCAACACACACTTTCACCTTCGAGCATGCCCTCACATCCAACATATAAATATATAACTATATAAATATATTTATATATTTACACGGATATATAAATATAATTTATTTGTAAGTTATTATCAGAAAATTCTAGTAATTTAATGGAGAGATGTCTATTTTGTAAAAATTGTTGACTAAAATAAATAAGAAAGAAGATTATCGATTTTTATTAATAAAAAAATATATTAAGTATAAAAGTGGTTTTTCTTGGAATCATATTTAATAAAAAAATAAATGGAAAAATACCATGTTGAAATAAATTTATTAATTTTAGCGTGAAAAATACTTAAAAATTTTGAAAAAAAAAGTGTAAATGTATCGAAACAATGACTAATAAAATCGATCTTATCATGTATATTTTGATTAGTCTAGTTTATTATATTTTTTGTTACGTTAATTTTTTTAACAGGATACATTAGTTTCGATTACATCTTTTATTTAATAAATTAAATTATCAAGTTTTTTTAATATATCTAATATTATAATAAAACCCAAAATAGATGATTTATAAAACCATTAAAGAAAAATTATAATAAAATTAAACAAATTTAAATATAAACATATTTGTCGTTCGAAATTATATCTAATAAGGCCTTGAATAGCTATAGGAAACACTACAAAAAAACGTTTATTATCTACGGATAAAATCCGTAGGTAATGCACTCATCTAAACAAAATATTTTTATTTACTACAACCCCTCCCTTATTTTTTATTATTACCTAGGACCCCCCAACCCTTTATATTATATTTTTATTATTTATTATATTTAATTATATCTAATAAGGCCTTGAATAGCTATAAGAAACACTACAAAAAAATGCTTATTATCTACGGATAAAATCCGTAGGTAATGCACTCACCTAAACAAAATATTTTTATTTACTACAACCCCTCCCTTATTTTTTATTATTACCTAGGACCCCCCAACCCTTTATATTATATTTTTATTATTTATTATATTTAATTATATCTAATAAGGCCTTGAATAGCTATAAGAAACACTACAAAAAAAATGCTTATTATCTACGGATAAAATCCGTAGGTAATGCACTCACCTAAACAAAATATTTTTATTTACTACAACCCCTCCCTTATTTTTTATTATTACCTAGGACCCCCAACCCTTTATATTATATTTTTATTATTTATTATATTTTTGGAACTTTGAATTATTATTAGATTAAGGAAATTGTAATTGGCGGGATTCAAACCCAATACCTCGAGTTGGAGGTCGATACTCCAACCACTAAGCTATTAGGATATTTTGATAATAACTTACAAATAAATTATATTTATATTTATCCTGTAAATATATAAATATAAAATATATATAAATATAAAATATATAAATATAAATATATTTATATTTTGATATATTTATATTTTGATATATTTATATATTTATATTTATATATTTACACGAATAAATATAACTATAATTTATTTGTAAATTATTATTAGAATATCCTAATAACTTAGTGGTTGGAGTATCGATTTTCAACTTTAAGATACTTGGGTTCGATTCTTGCTAGTGACAATTCTTTTAATTTAATATAATTTACCTACTGGATAGTAATTTCGTAGGTAATTACCTATGGAATTACCCACGGATGACATTACCTACGGATAATATCCGTAGGTAATGGATAATTACCCACGGATAGAATTCCGTAGGTAATGTACAATTTACCTATGGATTTTTATCCGTGGGTAATATTCGTAGGTAATGTAAAATTTACCTATGAATTTTTATTCGTAGGTAATATTTTGTAGATAATAGACTTTTTTTGTAGTGAAAGAATAACATTATAATAAAAAAATATTAAAATATAAAAATATAAAAAAAATTTCCACAAATTAAAAAAAAATACATGAGGAGCAACAAAAATAAGTGTTCATATTAGAGAATTTTATTCTTATGTCCATTATGATTGTATCATTAAGATCCATTATCACATTCAAGGTATTGTCCGTTTTGTAAGTCTAGTTTGTAACGACTTTATCCTTAAAAGATATATCGGTGGTGTCGCAACGGAGATCACAACGGAGACAACGAAAAAATTAAAACATTTAAAAAAAATGGTTTGAGGAGTTGTCATCATAGTTTATTAAGGAAAACTACGAAAAACCTTAAAAAGAATGACCTTTGAAACCAAATTTAGGTTTGGGAGTCGATTACGCGTAAGGAAGGTATTACATCCTATAACATCTGTACTAAGACATCCTTAGTTGAAAGTACAAAATAAAAATGTCATTTTAGAAATATTTATTTTCCCTAAAATAAGAAAACAAAGATAAAAAAAACATTATTAAATTTTTTTTATTTTAGTCTGACAAGGGTTGAACTTACTCCTGTGTATTCCCATTTGAACAATAAATCAGGGTTACTTAGTTTTTTTTAGAATAAAGTTTTTGTGTTGAATAAGATTTTGAAAATTTTTTATGTTTTTGAAAGAAATTGCATAATAAATGGGCACAAGATGATGCCGGTGATCTTGCTTATTCCCAAACGATTTATTTTGAAGAGACATATAATGACTCGTGCTATCGTACTTGTGTATGAGAAAATTATTTTTTGAAAAGAATAAAAAATGAAAACTGGATTTAGTGGTGCAGACAACCATAGCCATAGAGTTTTTGTGAGGATTTTGGAAGTGGAGACGGGGGTTGTGTTGGAAGGGGGATTGGTCGAGTGAGGGGCTCAAACATAAGGAAAGCCAATAACTCATTCATAAAAATAAAAGATAAAGAAGGAAATATACATACACGGAAACTTATTACTTATCTATATTTTGCAGCTGCCTCCTCTTTCTCTTGTATTTGTTGTGTGTGTCTTCACTTTTACTATTCACTCAATTTAAAGCACAAACTAGGTTAAAATCTAGGGTAACTTGTTAAAGCATGTTTTATTTTATTTTTATTTCAGCTTTTTTACTCTAATTTTCCTTTTTTTTCTTCCAAAAAGTAACATCATAATAAAAGAAGTTACTTTCATCAATGTTTTTGATTAATTTCTTTTTTTCCTCTCTATTTTAATTTTTCCTTTATATATATATATATATATTTTTTTTTCATTTTTTATTATCCAAATATTATTATTTTTTTATTATTATTTTATTTTAAAGCAAAAAATGCTAAAAAGGGAAGAAATTACCTTTTCATTTTTTTCTTTTCTTTCCCTTTATTTATTATTATTTTATTTTCTCATCCAAAATAAGTATTGCTATTTATTTGTTCCAATTTTTTTAGTTATCCATATGAAATTGAATATTGACAAATGAGTTAAGAAAGAAGAGTGTATATAAACTATTCTTGGTTTCGACTCTTAAACGATATGAGACTTATGAGCGTAAAGGAATAATAGGAAATGAAAAATAATTACAAAAGAGAATATCAATGTTTTTCATCTAGAAAACCTCTTTCAATATGAGAAGTAAAAACCCACATGTATGTTAGGATAATCACTTTTATTTGATGTTAATAAAGCCCTGAATATTAAAGACTTGATTGTAGTTACTACCTCCATGTTTCTAGACTTGTTAGACGTGAATATTTGTTTGTTCCATTTAGTTGTAAAAGGATATATAAGCCTATTATGTTAATAGAGCAACATATTCTTCTCTACAAGTTTATGTGCAATAATTTGGTATCCAACAAAGCTAGTATTAGAGCTTTGAAAAAGTTTGATGGAGTGTGAAACTATGTCAAACCACAAATTGAGTGCGTGATCGAAAATCCAAACACAAGAGTATGGTAGTCGAAGTAAATAACTTCGTACAGACCTTCATTCCACGATTTGATGGAGATTATGACCATTTGAGTCTCTTTATGGAGAATCTTTTACACTCCAAGGAGTATTGGAGCATGATTGAATGCAAGTTTGAAGAACTGCAATAACTTTAGACCCTTTCAACATCACAAAGGAAAGCGTTAGAGGATATGAAGCTGAAGGTTTTGAAGGCCAAAAACTACCTTTTTTTCAAGCCATTGATAAGTCTATTCTCAAAACCATTACCTATAAGGAGACTTCCAAACAATTATGGGACTCAATGAAGGTCAAATTAAAAGAAAATGCTAGGATGCAACGTGCTCAACTTCAAAGGCTTTGCAAAACCTTTAAGCTCTTGGGCATGAAGGTGGGAGAGACGGTCACCAACTATATTACATAAGTCATGGTGGTGGTCATTGACATGCGAAATTCTAGAGAAGATATAATAAACACTAAGATAATTAAGAAAATCTTATGAACTCTTATAGAGAATTTTAATTATATTATATACTCTATTGAAGAATTAAAAGATACTAATTAGCTCATGGTTGATGCTCTTCAAAGCTCGTTGCTTGTTCATGAAAAAAAATTATTATGCAAAAGGGGAGATGAACAAGTTTTGAAGATTACATATGATGAAAAACTAAAATGGAGAGGACGAGGTCAAGATGTTACAAGAGGATGAAACCGGGGTAGATCCTTCAATAAGACAACAATCGAATGCTTCAACCATCATCAATTAGGATATTTTCATTACAAATGTCCTAAATGGGAGGATACAACCCATTACACGAAACTAGATGAAGAAGAGGAGCTACTGTTGATGGCTTATGTAAAAGAAAATTATGCAGAGCACAAGAGCCAATTACACGAAATTAGATGAAAAAGAGGAACTACTTTTGATTACTTATAGAAGAGAAAATTGTGCAAAACAAGAGGATATCATGTAGAAGAAAATTATGCAAAGCACAAGAGCCAATTACACGGAACTAGATGAAAAAGAGGAACTACTTTTGATTACATATATAAGAGAAAATTGTGCAAAACAAGAGGATATCAGGTTCTTTGATAGTGGGTGTAGCAACCACATGATCGAGAATAAAAGGTGGTTTGATAAAATAGATAAAGGCTTCTTACACTCATTAAATTAGGCCATGACACAAGCTTAAAATAGTTTCGCAGTATATGACAAAGGAGATATCAAAATAAAGGTCCTACCGAGAGTCGAACCCAGGTCACTGGATTCAAAGTCCAGAGTGCTAACCACTACACCATAGAACCCAAGTTATTAGAGGTACAAGGACAAACACAGGTAATCAATTATGTGTTTGATAAAATAGACGAAGGCTTCTCACCGCTACACCATAGAACCCAAGTTATTGGAGGTACAAGGACAAACACAGGTAATCAATTATGTGTTTGATAAAATAAAGGAAGGCTTCTCACAAGTTTGATGATTTATGTGAAAGAAAATTATGCAAAGGTGAGAATGAAAGGTGGTTTGATAAAATGAAAAGCTTGTCTAGATGTGACAAAGGAGATATGAAACTTAAGGTCCTACCGGGAGTTAAACCCCTGGATTCAAAGTCTAGAGTGCTTACCACTACACCATAGAACCCATGTTATTGGAGAATAACTTTGATAGTGAGTGTAAAAACCACGTGATTGAGAATAAAAAGGTGGGCAAAAGCTTCTCACACATGATCGAGAATAAAAGGTGGTTTGATAAAATAGGTGAAGGCTTCTCACACTCAGTAAAACTAGCCAATGACACAAGCTTAACAATATGTAGCAAATGAGACATCAAACTAAAGGAATTTCGCATTATGCAAAACAAGAGAATATCTAGTTCTTTGACAGTGGGTGTAGCAACCACATGATCAAGAATAAAAGGTGGGTGAAGGTTTCTCACACATGATCAAGAATAAAATGTGGTTTGATAAAATAGAAGAATACTTCTCACACTCAGTAAAGTTAAACAATGACACAAGCTTGGTAGTATGTGGCAACAAAGATATCATTTTATTTGAGAGATTGCTTGAAGATGATTATCAATATTTGATTATTTAAATGAAGTAATTGAATGAGATAAACACTTACCCGAGAGATTTAGAGATGATTATATATCATTTTATTTGAGAGATCATGTTTCTCTAAGGATAGTTGATGAATAATTATCCCCTGTTAGTTTCTGTAACTATAATGCTTATGTATCCTATGAAAGCATTGAGGGGGAGATTGATGGAAATGTGAAACATGTCCCTATATTTCCAAGAGATAATTTTGATGATGATTCAAGTTAACAACATTCAATACTCAAGCAAGCCCAATATATGATTTTGATAAAGATTCCATTCAAGATTCACGCAAGCCCAAGATGATTCCTGAAGACTAGATACAGTCTTAGAATACTGGATATGGAGGTACAAGTTGATGAAGTGGTATTATGCATAAACCTCCAAAGCACAAGTGTGATAAAATTTCGTAACATGACATTTTTCACGATCATAATCAATTATGATGCATAAGAAATGAAAAAACGATTTTCTCTCTGTCATAATTGATTATACTGGTAATATAATTGATTATGACAGTTCATATTTGAAAAATATATCCGTTTTGAAGAATAAATATTTTTAATGTATCCTAATTTTTTCTCTACGAAAGTATTAATGACTGTCGCCGCCGTAAAAAAAAGAGGCGGTCGAAGCGACGCGATAGTTCCGACTTTTACAATTTTCGCGTTTTTATGGATGATGTTACAACGCCTTTAGGTGTCCGATAACTGGGGTGAACCTAGAGGCGAGGTTTTCGAAAAGACGTTCTTGGATTGTCTGATAACCGGGCTAACCCAAGAAATAATTTGAAAGGGTTCTTATGGAGTCGTCACCGATGTTTTTATCAGAAACATCGAAAAAGGGGTAAAAGGCGTTGGTTTTCGAAAATCAACTTTGGTCGTTAAAATCAGAGTTTAGGTAAGGGAGTTAGTTACGTGTAAGGGAAGTGTTAGTTCCCTTACGACGCCCCTTTCGGGTTCCTATGATAGGCCAGCTATTTTATAAATAAACTTTTGAAAAGATGCTTTTACCCTTTTATTTACGAATCCGAGGCAAGTTTTTTATTAATACTCTTGGAATATAGGGTGCGTTTTGGCAGCATTTCGCTCTTTACAATGTCGAAAAACCTCTCGAAAACGCTATAAGAACTCTTAAAAACTCCGGAAATGCTTCGGAGGGGCTCTAGGAAGAGAATTTGAAGAAGTTGTAGAAGGAAAAGTGGAAGAACTGTGTGAAATGAGGGGGGAGCGCTCACTATTTATAGGGATTCGCATATGTCAGGTCGAGACAGCGGTATCGACTTGCAAAAGTGGCGAGACCGCCGTCTCGTTTGGCGAGACGGTGGTATCGACTTTTCCAAAAATGAGAAGGCCTTCTCGCCAAACGGGAGGGAAGTCTCGCCATTCGCAAGTGGCGAGATGGCCGTCTCGCCAAACGAGACGGCTGTCTCGACTTGCAACAATGGCGAGACGGCCGTCCCAAAAACCGAGATGGCGGTCTCGACCTCTGAAGGCGAAAATCCTTATTTTAATGCAGAAAATCATTCCTATCCTATTATGGGGCCTAATGGTCTCTCCTAGTGGCTTCTTAGGCTTCGTCCATCTTCAAATAGGAGGTCTTCTGCTCTTATTTTGAGGCCGGGCAAGATTTGGGGTCTACAGCTGCCCCCCCTTTACCTGACTAGTCGATTGTTGGCCTGTCGTGCCAAGAAGATTGACTGGAAGGTAAAGGAGTTGACCCTCTTGCCCGGTTACCCTTCGAACGTCCCGTCTTGCGGCGATTGATCTTTTGGGGAAAATTGTGTTGTGCACCTCCAGGATACTCCTTTTGACGGTAGTCGATCCCTTCGGTTGACACATGGTAGAACCTCAGGATACTTCTTCTGACGGTAGCCGATCCTTCGGTTGATGGGTATGAACCCCCCATCAGGCTGGTAGTTGCGACTTACTGATCCGGCTAGAGCGCAAATCAGGCTCACCGCGTGCGCAGGTTGATAGGTATGAACCCCCTATCAGGCTGGTACAATCCACTGCGTAGGACTGGTGGTGGTGGCTTACTGCTCAGGTGGCTCATGCGCCGATTAGGCGCACCTTGTGTGCTGGTTGAGATACCTTTTTTGGTCTTTATTTTTTGTCTTTTCTGGGAATGATCGTCTAGTCCGTGCGGGGGATTTTGTTGGTGTTCATCCAGCTTGTTAGCTGCTGAGGATTCTTTGATTTTGATCCTTTGGTAGTGGTCATCCGACTTTGCTGGTTGTCGGGGAGTCTTGTTTTTTGTTGTTCAAGGTGATTGACTTATTTTAATCCTGCCTTTTTTTTGCGGTTTATCTCTTTTTTCTCACGATTTCGGATTTTGCATTTTTGAGCGTAAGTCTTTTTATTTTTAGTTTCTTTTTGCTACGCTGACTTTTTTGAAAGGGAGAGCAAAAATGGACAAAATATAATTTTATTTATGATAAAATTTTATTACAGCAGTTATTTTTAAGCACTATCCCTAAGACGGTGGACTCAAGTCTGGAGACGATCCGTAAGAGGGGAATTGCCGGTACATGTGCCTTCGAAATTCTGCCTGGTCTTGGACTTCGTCGAGGTACTAGCCGAATGTCTCCATCCTCGTGTCGAAGGCATCCTGCCTTAAGGACATATGTTCTTGTCTCATGGACATTTGGTCGAATTGCTCGTAGATGTTGCGGTTGATGTCAGCAAAGTCGTTTGTGTACTGCTGCTGTTGTTATTACTGGAAATCCGGGGGTGTCCGGAGGTCTTGCATTGCTACGATGTCCCAGAGATCCAAAGTTATATCTAGCGAGGGGTGGATGATCAACCGGGACCCTTGGCGTAACAACATCCTCATGCTGACCAGGACAAACCCGTTGATAGTCTCGGGTCGAAGGCTGGAGGTCAGTTCCTCCATGCCGCTGCACCCCCATTTTTCTGCCAGCAGGGTGATGAGGGGAGCCATGAGGATGGCTCCCACGGGCCGGCTCCCGAAGTCCTTGAGGGCCTTCAAGAAGAAATAACCGGGGTTGCACCGGCACCTCTGGCTCATGCAGTAGAGGACGAAGAGATCCGGGAGGGTAACCTTACCCTAACTCTCTTTCCGCCCGTGGATCGCCCCAGCCAGCAGCTTGTGGCAAATGCGGAGGGCGGGGGGAAGTGCGGAGCCCTTCAGCAATGTTGGCAAAGTGGGCATCACTGTCAGCTCCTCCCACATTTCGCTGGCGGTGAGGGTAGAGGGACGCGTGCAAATGACTTCCTGGTAGTCCCAAGTCAAGACATCCTCGGGTTGGACGAATCCAATGGACACATTGAACTTGTCCGGGGTGGTGGTCCGGTACATCCTGTTCATGAAGTACGTCACCATCTTTGTCGGTGGGAGGTCCGACACCACGGAGAGTGTTTCGGAGTAGGAGATGGAGGCGAGGAATTCCATCACCGCCTGCGGGTAGACGCAAGTGGGTGGAGACTGGAGGAGGAAGCGCCACCCTATGCTGTCGATGTTGGCGCGGACGTCGTCTTCCCACCCAAACTCGGCGAGGATGCCGAATTTTAGCCTCAACATGGGGTGCCAAATGTACCCCCGGACATGTTCCAGGCGGGCCTGGTGTATTAGCGAAAGCTGTGTGGGATCTTGTGGAGTTGGGGCTGAGGAGCTACTGGGGCCGGCAGAACCCCTTCTCTTTCTGGATTGGTCTCCTTGGCGCATTTTGGTGGTAGGATGCTTGAAAGTGAGGATAGGAGTGCAGGAGAGAGTGTTTGAGACCCCCCTAGGCACCCCTATATATAGAATTTTCGGCCAACCTCGGGACTGCCATCTGGAGATTCGGGGCCGCCGTCTCGAGTTTGCGGGATTCAGGACCACCGTCTAGAACCTCGAGACGGCAGTCTCGACTTTGGCCTTAAACGAGACGGTCGTCTCGCCAAGCGAGAAGGCGGTCTCGTTTTTGGTCAAGTCGAGACGACAGTCTCAGAAGTCGAGACGGCGGTCTCGTTTCAGTGCAAGTCGAGACGGCGGTATGGACTGACGAGAGGCGGTCTTGTTTCTTAGATGATTTTTTTTTTAAGAAAATAGGACTTTGTCCAAAAACATTTTGTGCATGCAATATTTTCATGTTTGATGTCCTATGATGCATATTTTATTTAGTTTTTCAGAAGGTTTTAACTGACATGTCTTGTAGAGATGGGTGTCCTCTGATCTTTGTTCCTTTTGCTGTATTTGGTTGTATCATCCCGGACCTCAGGTGATCTTTTTTTTTTTTTTGTAGAGCACACTTTGCCATGTTAGTGTCCCTTTTTCTTCACTTTAGGGGTTTCAATCCTCTTGTTGACTATACGCCTCCATATTCCCAAACTAATTATTAGAATAATGTTGTGAGCGTCAAGAGAAAAGAAATAAAAGGGTAAATTCAATGGCTTGTGTTTTAGACAGTCAATTTTATTTAGAAAAGGTTTTGTAAGAATGGTTGTCTAAGGTTAGGCCTAAGTGTTTAAGCTTTTTTTCTAAGCAAACATTTCCCTTCTTCTTACACTCAAGAAGAGAAGCAAATAGTAAGAAGTGTATT